CCAAGAGATGGACAGAACGGTCCTTATCACAGACTTCTATATACCTGCGTGAAGTTGGCGGGCCAACTTTTATTTTTTAAACTTTTTTTTATTCCATTCGTTCGATAGTCTTGTAAAAACGTTTGATAGTTATTAGTCTTTTCAGAAAATCAAAATCAAAATCTTGCGAATTAATTAATAAAAACATTTGATAGTCCATCGTTTGCAATAAAAATAAGAAAAACCATATGCGAATCAAGGATCCCAATCGATACGATACAATCGATTCCTCGATCGGTGTATCCGTTCAATTAGATTATATTGCAAACATTTTCTACTTCCAATCGTTTTATAGGATGGACAAAACGATTGATAGTCAATAGTTTATCATGATGTAATGGTGTAAACCCACGCATACACCGTTGTATAGCTGTCAGCAGACGCTGAGTGGTTAAAACGTGTCTGAATACCGTTTTAACCAATCCCCGCACTGCTATACAAGTAATGTTGCATGCACGAGTTTGCCATATGGTGACAACCATGCATTGTTTATAGGCTTCTACTGATGGCCAATTTGTTCACCTTCGGATAAAATTTATCCTCTGGTAAATCCCCAGCTAACCAATCATTTTCAAGTTTTAGAAGTTTATCCGCAGGATAAATTTTATCCGAAGGTGAAGATATTGGCCATGAGCCATTCTGAAAAGCCATCAAAGCTGACGTCATATAGGCGTCCATGCCTATGTTCCGATATAAACTTGCAGTATTATGACTGTGTTCCTGTTTACCTACTAAAGAATTATCAGAAAGCATAGTTCTCGTGGCTCGTAAAAATAACTTATGACAACAATTGCTGACTTACGACTATTATGTAATTATAGAAATACCTAAAACCTGGCTTATTACGTGTCTTGAAAAAGCTGATTATGAACAAGAAGCAAGGAAACGACAGTCAACTTCACATCGTACATTGGTTTGGCTCTTCTGAAAAAACTGTTGACTACCAAACGTTTTGACAAGACTATCAAACACTATCGAACGACTATCCAACGACTGGAAGATGAAAAAGTTTGCAATATAGTCTAATTCAACGGACACACCGATCGAGAAATCGATTGTATCGTATCGATTGGAATCCTTGATTCGCATATGGTTTTTCTCATTTTTCTTGCAAACGATGGACTATTAAACGTTTTTATTAATTAATTCGCAACTATCAAACGATTTTGCATCGATTGAGCTCCGGAAAAACAAAATCCGGTTAGAAACAAAAAAGTGCCGGCCACTTCACACCAGATTTTGATTTTGATTTTCTGAAAAGACTAATGACTATTAATCGTTTTTACAAGACTATCAAACACTATCAAACGACTATCAAACGATTGGAATAAAAAAAAGTTTAAAAAATAAAAGTTGGCCGGCCAACTTCACGCAGGTCTTCTATACATATACTACTAGACCGCTAGCTTCCAGTATCCTGCCGTTGAAAGAAGTAAGGCAAATTTTTTGAAGTGGTTGGGGCTGGCCGCCATCTTTTGTAGGGCAAATTTGTGAGTGGATTAGTGTATCGGTGTGACACCCGACACTATTCAGTGGCGCAAATGCGTCACATTGGCGTTGGCGCGTGTAGTTAGTGATTATATCCAGCAAAACTTTCCTCTTAATATTTAGCCAAATAGCTAAGTGGATAAGATGTTGACTTAGTAAACGTAAGGTTCGGGGTTCAAATGGCAGTATTTTTTATCCAATTTACAATTTCTAAAATAGCAGTAAAAAGTCTCTCAGTAGATACACACCACTTATGGGAGTCATAACAAACCCCCACCACTGTCCCTATGAGTCATAGAGCGCATCGCGCTGTGCCCCCCCTGCACTGCACTATGGCGCCGCCCCCTGGCCTATGCAAAACAGTGGTGGGGGTTTGTTATGACTCCCATAAGTGGTGTGTATCTACTGAGAGACTTTTTACTGCTATTTTAGAAATTGTAAATTGGATAAAAAATACTGCCATTTGAACCCCGAACCTTACGTTTACTAAGTCAACATCTTATCCACTTAGCTATTTGGCACACTGTAAGTAATATAGTCTTCGTAATATTTAAGATCTGTGCCTCCCCTTCTTTGACATCGGCTTATCTGATTCGTTTCTTCATATTTATCAAATTATTTTACCTATCATTCCGATTTTACGTACAGAAGTACATTTACTCGGAAAATGTAGAAACATAGAAATCACGGAACAAGTGATCGGCGTCTCCTATTTATTTTCCCCACCTGGAATACGGAATGCCATACAAAAAATGGCCTCCAATCTTCCCTCTAGTTTGCCTCAAGCCAGCAAGCGAGCTAGCGATCTAGTGGTATATAGAAGTATGTGGTCCTTACGATCTGCTCTCTCTTTCTATTATCGATTACACTTTCTGCGCTACAGTGAGCAGTCCAGTACTATATGTCGATGGTCGAGTCTCGCGCCAAGTACAGGCAACCCGCCATACAGGGCTTAACACTACCCACACTACACAATGCGAATCTCTCTCATATCCGTATTCACACACACAATCCTATTCTGGAAAGAGCCCTCAAAATGGCGGAGCCACTCAGTAAGAGGCCCACCGTTGGCCGGACTCTGACTAGAGGGCACTGATATATATACTAACTGGATACGAGCTGGCCGCCATAATGGTGTACTCATTATAAGCTTGGATTCGACTACCGCGACGCCTGGCAGTCAGGCACGGTACTACGTAGGTCGCGGCATATTTAATAAAAGGATGGAGTAAAGTAGTAGGCAACCACGGATCGTTTATATACGAAATTAATGCAAATAATAAAACGGTACATATACAGTTTGTGGAGAAACTTGAATGTTGCATTTTATTATGGTATATGTTGTAATATTGCCTTTTATGGTGATGAATGGCAATATTACAACATATATATCTTACTATTTGTAAATGAACTTCTTAGAAAATGTGGAATTGTAATCAATTGTGTAAATCAAATGTGTAAACTATATGCACATGCAATTTATAGAATTTAAAGATGATATATAATAAAATTAGGAGGTATAGAAAATATTGGTTAATATTTCAAAAGTTAATAGCAGCTAATGAAACTGAAATTGATTACTTATGTACAATTGAGTAGATCAGATATAGATTTTTTTACTCCGTTCCCAGGAGCATCTCGGTATTGCTGTTGTTCGTCTGTCCCACAACCCTGATATAGTGTGATGCTTTTTGATGTTCAATCTGTTGAATATTGAAGGTATCAAATAATAAGTAGGCAAAGTAGGGTATGTACGCAAGGTACTTTCTTAATTATTGCATACATATATAATGGTTTGTCATTATTTGTACATTATATATTATTGTACGTTATTCATTATATAGTTTTACTTACCTGTGAAACGTTATTCCTTTTTCTGTTGTACATTTCTTGCAATAGACACATCTTACCTTTTTATAATTTTGGGCAGTTATTTCTCCTGCTTAAACACAACTAGCTTAGCACCACTTAACACTATGTGCATGTAAACAGCTTAGTACCGTGCCTGACTGCCAGGCGTCGCGGTAGTCGAATCCAAGCTTTTAATGGGTACATGTCCCGACTGATGCCTGCCATAGTGAACTCTTATCCAGTTAGTATATA